CTGAACCCTAAACCCCTAGACCCTATAACCCCTAAACCCTCTAACCGCTAAGCCCTCAACCCTAAACCCCTACACCTCTAGCCTGAAAGTTTAGGGTTTAGGGTTTAGGGGCAGAGGGGTTTTAATCCCTAAACCCTGCCCGTGGCCCGTCTTCGCTGAGGTTCTGTCCGAACTGATTTCCAATTTCCGCCATCCCCGGGCGCTGTCCAGGCCAGGAAAAGGCTAGGGTTTAGGGATTGAAGCATCAGGGTATAGGCTTTAGGGTTAAGCGTTTAGGGTTTAGAGTTTAGGGTTTAGGGTTTAAGTTTTAGGGTTTAGGGTTTAGGGTTTAGGGGTGAGGGCTAGAATACTTTTGAGGCATCTATAACCCAAAGGCTCCAAATAGACTACCATCATGGAATTAGATCCCAAAAGACCATCCTTACCATGGTTTTAAGGCCTAATTCCACACTAGTAGTATATATGGAGCCTCTAGGTAAGTGTTCTATAGGAAGGGTTATGGGTTCTTAAGGGTCTCGGGGTTTTAGGGTTTATTATGGAGGTCTGGGCAAATACCGATATTATTCCTCAGGTTCCCTGCTGCTTACCACTACCATGACCTGTCGATGGCAGTCAAACCAACTTAAGAGTAAACGCGCAAGCACAATCCCAAGAGTCTAAGCGAAGGTTCTTGATAAGTATAGGGTTGCTGGTAACATCAGGTAACTTAAGTCGGTATAATGCCAGAGGCAGGTACTTTGGCCTCTGGAGCACCTTAAAGCCAGCAAAGAGCGGCCGTCTGCGCCGCAGCATCGCAGACCAGATCATTATTTTCAATGTATGGACATGTACGGACCTTCATGAACAGGATCGGGTTTAGGGTATTGAGATTCAGAGTTTTGGGTTCAGATCATTAAACTAATTATCTCCAGCCTAGGGTTTTGAGGTTTGGTCTAGACTCCTAAATCCCAAAGGATGAAATAAACAGAGTTTGGGCTCACCGGACAGTGCTAAGGAGTTGACACTTGCAAGAGGCCATGTCCGCAAAGCTTTCTACGGATCTGCCTACGCATACGCGCCTGAATCTGCAGAGCATTTCGTTCACGTTATTGTTGCCGTAAGGTTTCGGGCGTTGCTGGTAGAAATTTCGGAGTTTGCAGCCACTGTGGGTGGGAGTTTCCGGAACAAGACATCCTAGAATGTCCAAGTGCCCAACTAATAAGTTTTCCCGGTGCAGAACATGATTCGAAGTGTTGGCCCAGAGTAGGGCTCGCTAAACCCCCAACACCCGTGCGTGCAACGTTCTTACCCTCCAAGCTAAACCGTCGCACCAGTAGAGAGCCTTGCTTTTCTGAGCAATGAGCTTGTGGGTTGGAAGGTTTAGGTTGTTCAATTTCGGTCTTTCGGTGTTCGATATTCCCGGCCATGCAGGCCTATCAGATTGAGATGCGCGTCCCAAAGTGGTGCATAGGCCGGGCCGTCATTGATGGGACCTGCTCCAAAACTTGATATAAACTGTACGCGCCAGAACCCCCGACTGCAATGAATGGATCCAAGGCCCTACGCCTCAACACCTGAAATGCTAAACCCGAAACAGCTCTGGGGATCTCAGTGGGTTTTCGAGTTCGAGCTACTATAATGGCTTAGGGTGTAACACGCTGATTGTAAGCCTTTGCTTCGGGTATAAATATAAAGTTTGTGTTTATGTTAAGGCTTGCGGGTTGTTAAGTTGTAGGGTTTAAAGGTTTAGGGAGTTTAGGGTTCTGTAGAGGGTTTAGGGTTTAGGACTTTAGGGTTCTGTAGGTATAAAGCATTCCGCATTCTCCCTCAGCTGACGCGTGTAAAGCGATGGAAACTGAAGGCCAACTGCACACCCTAAACTCTAAACCCTGAACCCTAAGCCCTAAACCCTAAACCCTAAACCCTACACCCTGAACCCTGCACCCTGTACCCTAAACCCTACACCCTGTACCCGGCCCTAAACCCTAATGCCCTAAAGCCCGGAACGAAGGGTCTTAACCCGCAAACCAGCAACCTCAGAAGGTAGGGGTCTTCATAATTAGAACAGGGTTTTGTTTAGGGTTTTGGGTTTTGGGTTTTGGGTGCAATATACTATAATTACAACAAAAAGACCCCACAATAGTATTGGTAATTGGGTAGTTCTCTAAATTAGAGCCCCTTTCTGGGTCCCCAATATAGTACGGCGCCCTTATAAAAAAGAACCTTAAAAGGGACCCTAATTTAGAGAACTACCCAATTGTTTAGGCCCTTACATTACCCTAAACTCTAAACCCCCTCAACCCGAAACCCTAAAGGAGAACTACCCTACACCTCTGAGCCCTTGGCGCCGTAAACCCTGTCTTCCTCGGTCCACTCGGAGACTCATGGAGTTCACCCCGTATTATTCCACCAGGTGACCTGTAACTTGTTCTGGGTAGTATTTTCCGTTTATAGTCATAAAACATACTTGTACCTATACATATATATATATATATATATATATATTATGTATATATACACAAATATGTATACATGCATGCATGCACATAGGTATATATGTATGTATGTATGCAAGTAAGTATGTAGGAATGTATTTATGCATGCATGCATGCATATGTAATAGTTATTCATGTACCCGAAAGGCTAGGCTTTAGATTCCTTAGGAGCCTCAAACCCTACAGGGCTTGGGGATTTTGAGGGGTTGAGGGTTTGGGGTTTAGGGTTTAGGGTTGAGGGTTGAGGGTTTAGGGTTTAGGGTTTAGGGTTTAGGGTTTAGGGTAGGTTGAGGGTTTGGGGTTTAGGGTTTAGGCAATTAGCCAAGTCCCAAGCCCCGAATCCCCAAGAAACTAAACTAAACCCTAAACGCTACACAAGCAGTAACGGAGGCCCCTTTCGGCTGAGCTTTCAGAAGCGCGTGGCCGTCCACACTGACGAGCCGTGACGTCGTCTCAAAAAGTTGGGGTTTTGGGTGTTTAGGTTTCAGCATTCAGGGCTCAGGGTTTAGGGACTAGGTGACTCGGGCTTATGGGCAGTAAAGTTTGGCTTTCGGGGATAGGATCTGGAGTTAAGGTCTTGGGCCTTGGGGTTCAGGGTGATACAGGCTCCATTAGGTTCTGGCTTATAGTGTTTTGTAGGGTTTAGGGTTTAGGGTTTAGTGTGTTTTTTGTTATGGTGCCGTTGTTGAGTTTCGGATGAAGGGCTTGCGAGCAATGGTGCTGAGACCATACGGCTTAGGGATTAGGGTCTAGGGTTTGGGCTTTAAGGTTTAGAGGCTTAGCGGTTTTAGTGGTTTGGGATTCAGGGTGTAACAGTGTACGGGGTAAGATTGAGGGATCAGGGGTGTAGGGGTTCAGGGGTTTCAGGTTCAGGCTTTTGGGGTTCCGGCTTTAGGGGCTCAGGATGACGATCATCCCAGCACATGCAGTCTTCAGGGCGTCTTGTGCTATTTATACTATAATTTAATCAGCAGGAATTCTGGCTATTACGGGCCCCTGTCTTAGGGATGCGGACTTTGATTTGTAATTGTCCTTCATCTTGGTCTTAGGGTTTTGCCGGGAATGTCGTAGGGATCCACTCTCCCGCTCCCCCCTGAAGCACCAGTAACCAGTAAGTCATAAACACTATACTCCCAAAAAACTGCCAACCCCTAAACCCCACGTCAGGCTGCAGCGCGAGCAGAAATGGCAGGAATAGAGCAACACCTCCCGATGTCCCCAACAGTCGACATGCCCACTAGGCCTCGAGAAATTCTATATGGAGGTTACAGAGTTCTGTAAGGTTTATAGACATGTTTCTATAAGGCCGGAAAAGTCTTCAGCGATTCGATCAGCGAAAGAGTAAGATTTTGCATGTTGGAATTTGGCTTTTGCCAGTGTCACAGTACCTACTATTTTGTAGGGTTTGGGGCCGCAGGGCCAGGTAGGGTTTGAGAATCCTAAGTCAAGAGTAGATCTTCGTGATAATAAGATACCATCGGGGGCACTCTCCAAATCCTAAACCCTAAATCCTAAACCCTAAACCCTGGGACCCTAGACCCTAAACCCTAAACCCTAAACCCTAAACCCTGGGACCCTAGACCCTAAACCCCGGTCTGCTCTAGGACTAAGGGGGCCTGGAGCCTCTGAGTTGCTAGGAGTCGGGTTGAGGGTTTAGGGTTTCGGTTTGTTTCGGGTTTAGGGTTTAGGGTTTAGGGTTTAGGGTTTAGGCTAGACCCTAAACCCTAAACCCTAAACCCTAAACCCTAAACCCACATCCGGACAGCTGAGGCTAATGCCTGCAGAGGCAGCTGCTTGGCATGGGGTTCGAGGGCTGAGGCTCTGGGGTTTAGAGTGTAGGGTTCTTGGGTTTAGGGTTTAGGGTTTCAGGGTTTAGGGTTTAGGGTTTAGGGTTTAGGGTTCTTAGGTTTAGGGTTTATGGACGTTTAGGGATTTCAGCATCTTCGCGCGTTCTAAGTAGGTCTGAATGTTTGGCAATAGAATCAGGGGGACTCTGCGCCGCCTGCGCAGTATGAACCCCTAAATGCGTTATATAACAACTCTTATAGTATCCCTTGAAGAACCGGTAAGGTGTATGAAAGCGAATGCAAGTATTCATTTTCATTAACCCTTACAGGAGCCTTTAAATGGGCGAGATCAAGCTGAAACGCACAGGTCAAGGGTTTACGGGTTTTAGGGTTTAGGATTTTCGGGGTCTAGGGTTGAGGTGTCGGAGACTGGTGACTCGTGGCGGTGTGATTTTTCTGGCGGACTTGCCTGGCAACGGTGAGGTCTTGAAGCTGAGGCTCGGGCGGTTTAGGATTTAGGGTTTAGGTTTTAGGGTTTAGGGTTTGGGGTTTAGGGTTTAGGGTTTAGGGCGATGTTCCTTCAACGCAGAAATCACTGATGTCAGATCCACGACAGAGCCGCGCACCTGCTCATGACATGCTCAAACCCAACGGGTCCAGGTACCACTATAGTTTAGGATTTTAGGGTTTAGGGT